GCCCAACCTTCCTTCCAAGGAGTGGCTGGTCGATTTGAACCACCAGCCTTCTGATCAGCAGTCAAATGCCTTAGGCACTATGCCACCAGGTTTCTCAAATTATTTTCAGGAGAGGAATTCCAACATATTAATAGAGAAAAGCAAAGCAGATCAGGTTAACAGAGGGCAAAGCTCAGAGCTCTGCCCATTCTGACTCCTGAGACATCTCCAACAAAACCAAACCAGTTGTCATTGAGTCAGTTCCAACTCATGGCAAACCCATGGGTGTCAGAGTAGAACTATGCTTCATGGAGTTTTTAATGGTTGATTTATTCTTTTCAAAAGTAGATTGGCAAGCCTTTCTTCTGAGGTACCTCTTGGTGGACTCATACCTCCAAACTCTTGGTTGGCAGCTAAGGACTTAACTATTTGTGCCACCCTGGGACTCACAAGACACTTCCAAAGGGCTCCATAAAATACTAGTTGAAAACTGCTGGTCTAGCTATTTCTGATTTCCTAGTGTGGGGTAAAAATGTCTGTCTAGGAAAGATGGCTGGCTGTTTCAGCATCCTTAAGTCTCTGACATTTATGTCTCTTATGGATGCTTTAATTCCTAACCATTCAGGTCAAATGGCACATTCCACAAAGCAGTGGTTCCAAGGTACCGCCTATGTGGGTAGAAAGGAAATAATTCTTGTGGGATGGATAGAAGCACCACTGAAGACCTTTGGTTTGAATACCAAGTGATGTTGGGCAATTGGCCATTTTGAAACCCTACTTAGATGTTTGCTCTATGATTACAAAGGTGACAGATTATAATAGCCTGTTGTTGTCAATTGGCTCCTGACTCATGGCGACTTGGTATACAATGGAATTGGACTGTTGGGATCTACAGAGTTTCCACTGGCTGACTTTCAGAAGTAGTATGCCAGGCCTTTCTTCCTGGTCCATCTTGGTCTGGAAGTTCTGCTAAGACCTGTTCAGTATCAGAGCAACATGCAGGCCTCCACTGACAGATGAGTGGTGGCCTGTGTAAGGTACACTGGCCATGAATCGAACCCAGGTCTCCTGCATAGAAAGCAAGCATTCTACCACTGAACCACCACTGCCCTCTTGGAGTAGTTTCAAATGGACCTATTAAGTATAAAGTCAATGAGGGTTATGATGATGGTGATGGTGATAATGATGATAAATATTATTTAACACAAAACCCCCAAAAATCAAACCCACTGCCATCAAGTCAATTCTGACTCATAGCGACCCCCATTGGGTTTCCAAGGTGGTAAATCTTTATGGAAGTAGATTGCCCTGTCTTCCTTCCATAGAGTGGCTGGTAGGTTTGAACTGCCAACCTTCTGGTTAGCAGTCAAGTGCCTTAGGCACTACGGCACAAAAATCCCATAATTTCTGTATGTACTATTCAGTAACATTTCAAGTTGTGAAACCATTCTCACCTTCCTTTTCTGAGTTGTTCTGAAACCGAGTAAAGTCAAAACTGTTTCCCCCACCCTGGTTAAAACAGATAATTAGAACAGATAGGACCCCAGATGTGAATAGATAAGTAAACTTAATTACCCTCAACTATTTCCCCACCACTGACCCTGGTTGGA